AGGGCAGGGCGGAGGAGGCGCATTGGACAGGGCTGCAGTGAAGAGTCCGCTGTGCACGAGGAACAGGAAAGTGATCACGGTGACCGCTCGGGCCCCAGTGCCAGCAGCGCCTGGGTCAGAGAGGAAATCAGGGGACCACCTCTGACCCAGGGAGTGGGCAGGGGCGGGTTCCAGCTGACAAGAATTAACCTTTTCCAATTTGCTTTTTGTTTTTTTTTTAAAAGGACCACAGCCAAAATAAAACAGAACTGCAAAATCCGAAGTGGCTGCTTGTACGCTATTTATAAAAACCCAGGAGCAGTCTCTAATCTGGGCCGGACGGACTCTGACTATACTTTGCCAGGGATCTTGGCCCGCTTCCGGGCAATGGCGTCTTCCACGGCCTTCAGCTGCTTCAGGAGCTCCTCCCTTCGTGACAACGTGCTGGACTTGCCCGATTTGGCGGCTGCAGCCGGAGGGACGGGCTCAGCCGCTTTGCCCGGGACACTTGTCACCTTGCTGGAACCCTTAGACTGAGGTGAGAGCGGGCGCTTCCTGCAACAGAGGAAATGCTGTGTTAGGGAGGGGAACAATTGATGGGGGGGCTAGAGGCATCATCGTTGTGCAGATCTGCAACAGCAAGAAGACTCTGCCAGGCCCGTGGCAGACCTCAGAACCACAGAATTGTAGAGTTTGAAGAGACTGCAGCGATCCTCTAGGCCAGCGTTTCTCAAACTTGGCAACTTGAAGATGTGTGGACTCCAACTCCCAGAATTCCCCAGCCAGCCAGGCTTAAAGGCAACATCTTAAAAGTTGCCAAGCTTGAGATAAACTGAGCTAGTTCAACCCTCTGCAGTATGCTGGGAAACCAATTAAACCATCCATGAGGTTTACATCTTAAGAAGATTTGAACTCACTCTCATGAGGCTAGGTTTTTTTCTGCTGAGCCAAAATAAAAAAGGAAGAAACACATTAAAAAAAAAATCTAGAGGTCTGAGATTGGAGCACAGTTCCCTTCCATTCATCTTGAAAAATAATGCAAAGTCTCCAGAGAAATTTTACAGAGAGTCCCTCATCCTGCTATTAGAAAACAATCTGGTTCAGAGAAACTTATGAGCTAAACTCTGACCATCTTTAAAAAAAACCGGACACAACCACACGTCTAAAACTGGTTGCCAAACTAGGAAGCACTGAGTCACCAGGGAAATCTGTACAGGGTTGCCACACGCTGCTTCAGACACAACTGGATCTTCAGTGGCTCCAGGATCTCCTGATGGGGGTCTTTCCCAGTTCTGCTCCCTGGGATGTATCTACAGGTAGTCCTCGTTTAGTGACCCCAATTGGGACTGGCAACTTGGTCATTAAGCAAAGCAGTCTCTGAGTGAAACCGCGACTGTGCTTACCATCTTCTTTCAGCTTTCCTTTGCTTTACAGACCTGCAAAGGTCATCAATGTGAGGACAGGTCGCAAAGTTACTTTTTCATCACTGTCACAATTGCAAACGGTCGCTAAATGAGGTAATCGCTAAACGAGGACTCCCTGTACTAGTAACTGAGTGGGGCTGCTGGCCTGAAATGGGAGGGCTCTCCTGACCCCGTGCTCTCAAGTTCCAAGCTGAGAGATCTGACCTTGTACCTCAGAGTGCCAGAGGCTGCCTTTCTTCTCCACATGCCAAGAACCAAAGCAGAAACCAAGTCAAGGAAAAGCGGCAGGAGATTTTGCCATCCTGATGGCAGGGACACTGTGCAGAGCTACTAAGTCAAACCCAGAGGAATGACAGCACCAGGAATCCGCAGCTCTGCAGTGGCTCCTGGATAAGTCCATGGCCAGCGGACATGGAAGCTAAGGTACTCGAAACAGGGATCTAACCTTGGATTTCGGGTGAGTGGTTGCAGGTTGATTAACTAATGGATACTACAGATAATTATGACTAAGGCAAGGGAATGTCACACATTCAGAAATTTTTGGACGTGACACACTGCCTTGCAATGGCTTAGCAAGAGGCAACTAAATCAATGACGCAATCAACAAATGACTAGGTTGGGGTCAGACACGCCACGGCTGTTTCAGGCTGCAGCTCCACCAAGCCTGCTCTACCTCTGCCAGCGAAATGGAGAGAATAACGGGAAGCAGGCCCTGATTCTGGCTTTTGGCGAAGGAGGAAAAAGACCATTTTCTTATTAGACTAATCTTGGTTGGTTTGGGCATCACACACAAGCTTCCTGGTGCCACAGAAATGAAGAAAAATTCAATTTGTTGGATATGAGGTGAAGGAGAGTGCACTCTGTTTAACTCCCCAAAAATCGCTGCCTCCTTTACATTTAAAAATCACGTTCCCTGATAGCCAGGAAGAGGAAACCTCTAGCAGTGCCCCGTATGAACACGCCCAAGCCCCCTGCCCTTTGGAGCTGCCTCAGGACCTCGAAGCACCCTGAAATGGGGCAAGGGCATCCTGGGTGATCCCCTGGCTTGTGCATCACCAGAAGTAAGGCCCAGCTAGGCTGCCAGGACTGGTTCCTTATGCCTGGACAGAGCACCAAGCCAAAAGCAGAGACGAACAGCTCCTCTTTGTGCCGCCGGGGGGGAGAAGGGTTCCTTCGCCCTGATTTGCTAGGCAAGGGAAGGCCGCAAGGCGCCCTGTCTGCCAAGCTGAGGCTGGGGACGGGTCTCCTTGCTGGGAAGGACTGCGCCAGGCAGCCTTGGCAGAGCCTGCAGGGCAACCAGGCAAAGCGAGCTGAGAAGGCGGAGCAGAACTCACTTGTCAGCCTGTGCTGGGGTGGGCTTTGGATTTGGGCCCCGCTGACGGTCCTGTTTAGGAGAGGAGAGCCTTCCTGCGGGTTTCCTGTCGCGAGTCCCTGGGGAGGAAAGAAAAATGAGTCAAGGGATGTGGATTTGTTTAAAAGTGTGTCAGGAGCTGATGTCATCCCTTGAGGTAGGCCAGGCTAGGAAAGCAAAACCACGCAGGCTAATACGGCTTTTATTATAAGGTGATACTGTAGTCCCAGAGTCTTGCCAGTCTGAAAGTGCTTCCCCCGCCTTTATCTGCGTGTGAATTAGGGAGGGTCTTGCCTGAGATGCATCCTCAGATTACAGCCCTGGCCCAGACTCAGGCTTCTTTTATCTGACTGTTGCCTCGGTCATGGCTCTTCCTCCTGCTCCTCCAGGTCATTCCTCTGCCTGGAGAGGAACTGGCTGAGGGGTAGGAATATTTACAAAAGCAGACTGGGCAGTTGGCCCTTGGGCTCAGGCGAGCTGTTTAAAGGTATCAGTGGGAAAGCAAGAGGGAATGGGGAGGCCCCCTGTTCCCAAAGGAAGCCCAGGAAGGGACCAAGTCCAGGCTAATAATAGAGGCTAGGGTTACAAGTCATCGCTTGCAGTGTCTTAAATCCTGGCAACACTTCATCTACATTCTTAGTCATCTTTACAACAACTCTGTAAGGTAGGCCAACAATCCTATCTCACAGTGCAGGAGGAAGGCCGAAACTGAGAGAGAGAGAGAGAGAACATGAACCCAGAGTTCAAGGCAGGGCTGTGATGCGGACTGGGGATTTTCCCGTTGCTACTCTTTTAACAACGCCAGCTCCGATTTACACAATACATGTTTCAGGTGGCCAGATCAGCAACAGGAATGTGGCACCGTTCTTGGCACAAAAGGAAAGCCGTCACTTTAGCAACAGGGCTTGGGGCCAAGCTGGTGCCTGAGGTTGCATGAGCAAGTGCGGGTGCCGAGTAGTGCCAGGCAGGCCAGCTGATCTTCTAACCCAAGGGCAGGAAGCATCAGGAGATCTGTAGCTAAGCCGATCTGGGCCGAGCCCCGCCTGTTTTCTTGAATTAAAAAAAAGCTTAACTAAAGAGCAAACCAACCGACCACGCAGCGTGGCGGTCTCAAGACGAAGATGCACCAACCCTCCCGCTAGTAGAGTGAATTACGCAGCCCCACCCCGCCAAGATACTCTCTTGCTACACCCGTTTGCAAGAGGGTGGCTGAGACAAAGGGCCTAGCACCTCCCTTACACGCACTTGGCTCCCTGAACTCGGGTTCAGGGCACAGCTAGAAGGGCAGCTGAGAGCAAACAGGCTGCTCTCAAGCGCTGCCTGGAAGGAGGGGTCGCTTTGTCCTAAGACCTGCAGCCCCGGCTCCTCACCTGGAGACAGGTTGATCCTCTTGGCCGGGGGAGAAGCCTGCCTGTCTTTGTCGGAGGGCTCGTACCTCTTCCGGCTGCTGTTCTTGTCAGCTGCCTAAAAGCAGAAGAGAAGGGATCATGGTCAGCTCACGCCCCAAGGAGCTGGGGAAACGGAGGGTTGCCTGCCTGTTGGGGCACTCTAGAGAGGCACCTGCTGTGGCAAGGCACTCCCTCTGCTCTGGAGGGGCACGCGCAGGCGCGCTGCTGCCTCTCCGCAAGAGCTCCATTACGCTTCGAGGCAGTCAGGGCCTGCAGTGGAGGCTGGCCCAAGAGGTGGCTGCCCAGGGCCTCCGAGAGCGGAAGAGGCCCTGAAGGAAGAGCACAGCTCCTTGCCCTGCCCTGCCCTCTTGACATGCTCCTGCTGCTCTTCTTCCCAGCAGCCCATCTTGGGGCAGTGAGAGTAGGAGGCAGACCCCGGGGCAGGGCTGCTCTCCAGGGGGAGCGCTTGCCAGCCCGCAGGAAACGATGGCAGCCCCCCTTGTGTGCCTCAATGCCCCCTGCCCCAAAGAGCCCTTTTCCTGAGGGTCCTGGAAAGGCACGGAGGCCGGCAGCCGTCAATTCTACCTTGTGGTGGTGAACTTAGTGGACGCCTCTCAAGAAAGGAGGCTGCTTTTTGTGTACAATCCCATCGTATTGGGAGACCCCCTGGAGCTGGCAGGATGGGGGGGAGCAATCTCTCTCTTCCAGACCCCCGGGGGCTGGTGTGGGTCAGAGTTCCCTCCTCCCCCTTGGCCTGAGCTACCTTCTGGCCTTGCCCACCTCTGGGCAGAGGGTGAGCCCTTAGGGAGCCCCAAGAGGCTCCCGGGCAGGTCCCTGCTCAGAGGACATTCCAGCCCCAGCTTCCTTTCCTCAGGCTAGCAATTCCCAGGGACACTGCCCCCCCCGCCCCCCAGTCAGCTGAAAGAGGAGGAGGGCACTAGCTGGGGGCACTTTCAGAAGGGCCTTACCTTGTTTAATAGGGTGAGCTTGATTTCCTTATGGGCACTAAAGCCAGTGGGCTGGGTCTGGGGGGGCAGGTGAGGGGCAGGAGGCTGCTGAGACTTGCCCCCCTGGACAGGCTTGGCAGCTTTGGCGGGCTGTGCTGGGACTTCTCGCTTCCGTTTCTCCTCCTTCATGCCACTGTCCTTCTTGGCCTTTCCTGTGACAAATGCACAGCAACTCAGAGCAAGCAAACAGGTAGGTCCCCCCCCCGCCCGGCTCATGGCCTCTTGGAGGGCCTTGGGGTGCCTCCTCTAAGTCACGACCAAGAGAGATGTCTTTGCTTCGGCTTTAAGCTGTCCCTCCCCAGCTCAGAGGAGCCGCCCTGGCGTACTCAAAAGGCCTGGTGCTTTTGGGGAGAGCCAATAAAGGCCGTTCAGATTCGGGACTAGTGCCCTTATCTTTTCTTTCCTATAAAAGTTAACCTGGCATTTTTAATTGGGGGAGGTGGTGGGGGGATAAAAATCTGCATTAGGTTTTATTCCTGATCTTTCATTTTGTTTGAACTGGGGAACCGATCTGCATTGTAGCAGGAGTTCCTCAGAACTTTCTCCCCCAAAGGCCTCAGTCACCCTTCCTACCCCGCCTTGAGGCAACCGATTGCTCAGGGCTGGGCCCTCTACCTTTGCAGGGGAAAGGAAGACGTGTTTCAGAATATGATGGGTGACTCCTGGTTCTGGGCATGGTGCAACACGATCAAGACCAAGCACATGGCAAAGCCTCCT